TAAAGTTAGTTTTAAGAACATTTAACATTCAAATAAAAAAAAAAAAATTGGAACAAAACATGTAAAATTGTTGAATTTGAAAGATATTCTAAAAAGGGAAAGGACTTCGGTCGAGAGCCTATTGGACTGAATATTTAGTTCAATCAATGACAATTATTAATATTACTATTCTTAAATATTTTGTTGTTTAATTTACTTGTAAATTTATGTGTGAATATATTTATAAATTACACTGGTCACCAGTGATTTTGTGGACGGTGGTTTAAGAGCGTTTTTGGGCGATCGTTTTACCGATTTCAAATCGCTTCTCCAGTCTATAAATCTTCAATTTAAAAAGAATAAAATAAAGTAGTTCTGTCTAAAACTAAAATAAATTTGCTATCTCGATTATTTCCAAACTTTTCCTTAACGCCTTAGTTGTAAGTTTCATATTACATTTTTTTTTAATATGCTATTTCTGTGGAATCATTAATTTTCACTTGCGTTATTGTTCTTCTAAAAAAGCGAAATGTGACTCACGTTTTGCTTGATTGACTTTAATTTTTGAGATAGTCAACCAGTCGAAATAAAAAAAATTCAAAAAATAATAAGACATTAATTTATTTATTTAATCAGTTTTGTCTGAGCTAACTAAAAGGCTGTATTCTATAAACAATGAAAAATAGTGATTGTTTTGAACTACTTAAAACATTTTCACTCGAACGGCGTGCATGATTCAATTTAAAAATACTTTCCAGAATAAAACCACTTGTTACAGTTTTGATTTCATTTATTACTAAACAGCCAAGTCATATACAAAAACGTTAATCCAAAATCTAAATTAAAAGTAATAACAAATTGCCTATCTACTAGGGTCGGTAACCAAACGTATAAACAGAATGGGCGGATTTTGTTAATACTTAACATTACACTCGGGCACTGACACTTAACCTGGATTAAATATAACTATAAATACAAATATTTACAAACAAATATACTTTTCCAAACAGTGATAAATTATATATATATATATATATATATATATATATATAAAAAAATGTTTTTTATAAGATTTTCTTATGTTCAAAGTTAGGACTTTATAATTTATTGTGTCGTTTGTATAATTCTGTACTAAATAAGAGCACTGATTTTGGAAATAAATTTTAACCATTTTGGCAAGTTGTTGAACCTTGTTACATTGCATAATGAAATATAAAGACTAACTGAATATGTCTGCCACAGATAGACCACTTGTAGGTCTATCGATTTCGTCTTGAGCTATTCCTAAAGAGCGGAGCTATTGAAAACTTCCTTTCAAGGTGATTTATTTCAACACTCAGAGCCAGCCGAGAGAAATTTTTTTCTTATATTCATGATCAACAGCCAAGATACATTTGGAAGTCGCTAATATACCCCTGTGACTATTTTTTTTTCATTTATTTTCCAGTGTTGATTGATTTTGGCCTGATTAGTGATTTTCTTGTTCCTTAACTCAATATCTTGCAAACTGTTGATAGCTTTGATGATATTTTGTAGCAAAGCTTGTTCAAATTTTGAAAACTATAAAAATATTCAGCTATTTTTATGGTTATAAACTTTTCCAACACTTAGTCCAATTAGAGGTACTTGTAACATTTTCAGAAGCTTATTCCTTTTTTTGTATTCTACTTGGAACTTTTCAATTTATTTAAAACATTGGACATTATTATCAGTTGTTATTAGGTATTCTTTGTTATTGTTTATATATTTTGACATAAACGCACATAACCAAAATATTGACCAAAGTTCTTAACCTCTTTTTATCACCTTAATCCAAAAATTGTATTTGTATGGTTTTGTCAACTGGAATAAATTTTCATTATTATGTTTAATTTTTCATGTCTTTTATCGTGAATTGTTATTTTTAAATAAATAAAGGTGTTTTTAACTATAATAGGTAGGTGCTAGAGGCCATGTGTCTGAACGAAAAGAAGACGTAGATGGCGTATCTGCATAGCATTAAAAATTGACTACTTCATTAAATCGTCACTAGATGCCGCTCGAGATTGCATCCAACACTTTTTACTGTTGCATTATCCTACTATATTATCTTCATACAACGCTTAAACCATTAATTTTTTTTCTTTTATTTTCAAAATCTTATTCCAATCCTTTGCAGGTTCTTTGTTTAAGACTGCGCCATGTTATGTTGGAATTAAACAACAATATTATATTAATAATAAACGTAATTTATATTGAAAGTGTTTATTGGCTCACCTACAATGTCTTGGCGTTCGCGAGCGACGTTGCCAGTTATACCTTACCGTAGCAATTCATGTATACCTCTACTGGTTAGGCAACTCACAACAGCTTATATTGCGGACGTAAAATTAAATATTTAAAAATTTCCTACAACTAGTCAAATTGAAATTAAGAGCTGAAAACTGAAATTCAGCAGAGGTATTTACCTTTTTATTAGTGTGGGCTGGGTGTATGGGTTTTGAAAACACTTTATTTTAAATAACGATTTTAAACGATTTGCTGTTTTTATTACAGTAAAAAAAAATAAAATTTAACAACCACACCTCCATGCACACCTACCTACTTCCATCCACCTATACATAAAAATCTGATGTGTCCAACACATGACTTTCCTATCTAGTTATTATAGGCTTTTTCCGGTTATTTTGTACAACCTATTGCAGCATCTCTATAAATGTTTAGAGGATAAACTAAATATATACATTGTCCACATACATCTACCTCGAAACATTTTTCTATAGATATTCATTGAAAACGAAAATGCTGAAAAATTTAAATTTAGCACTTTTCCATTACGGTCCATTTTAGAAAAATCATGTATAAACAAAAATTATAGAGATCGATATCGCAAACAACTTTTAGTTCAACAATTTTCATAAAAATCAGAATTTCGCACATTTTGTCAAATTTCTCGAATACGGACCATTTCAGGAAATTTTGACATAAAACAAAAATTATAGATAATAATATTAGAAGTAACTTTTATTTGAACAATTTTCTTCTACAAACATAAATAACAGATATATTCCATAAAATATAAAAACGGCCTCCCATAAAGTACCCCCCTAGATGTTCCGTCTTTGTCCAAAATCAAATCATTTCACGTCAGGCCGAAATAAAACTTAAGTTTAAAATTTAATGTTTTTTTCTTTTTTGAGTTTTCTTCAAAATTTTAAATTTACACATTTTTTCAAATATCTCGAATACGGTCCATTTTACAGAAATTATGTATAGGATAAAAATTATAGAGAATTATATTACAAACAACTTTTATTTGAACAATTTTTATAAAAAAATATTTTTTTTACATTTTGTCAAATTTCTCGAATACGGACCATTTTAGGAAAATTTTGTATAGAACAAAAATTATAGATAATAATATTAAGAAACCAAAAATGAATGATTATATTTATACTTGAAATTGTCCTTGCTTTCAATTTTTACGTCTACTCTGTTACCTTTATTTTGTTCTAAGTGTTTAAGATGTTCAACTCTTTCTATTAAGAAAGATTGAATTCATTTAGTGCAGGTAAATTTCCTTTTGGTCTAAAATCATCCCATTTTGATTGGGAACCTTCATCAAGTTTAGAGTTGATCAAATAAATTATCAGTACATCCCAATTTTGTATTGAAATACCTAGTCTACTAATAAAAGATAACTTATTTGTAAAACCAGTTAAAAGATTAAGCAATAAGGTTTATTAAATTGTTCATATAGAGAATCCCATGCAAATGAATAATTTATTGCAGCAAATTGAATTTCACAAATTGATTCTTTTGCAACTCCATCTAAAGCCTCTCTCAAGCAATGAAACTTTTGAATATCGGTAAAACCTACATTATTATGTACCAAAGATTTAAAAACATCTCTGAATTCCATCCAATATTCAAGAGATCCATCAAACCTAGGTAACGGAATGCTAGAAAACTCAGGTTTTAACCCAAAACTCACATTATTTGCAGGACTAGCAGTTTGGCTTATATTTGAATTATGAGAACCGTTTTCATCTAAACCTACAACAGCAAACAAATCACTGTTATGATCAATTAAAATTACGTTTACTAAAGCTAATTATTTAATTTTGAATCAGAATCATTTCGCTTAATGAACTCTGTTTCTAGATGTTCATCTAAAACTAACAACTCTATTTCTTCTTGAATTTCATTGAAATCTAATTAATTGTAAATTACTTAATATTTCATACTTTCTTTCTAACTCTGACAAAGCCATACGAGTTAGAAATTGTTCACCAATATTTTTATTTTTTATTAAATCCTCTAAATACCTCTCAAAACATGTGAGTCTTGTTTATATACTACCGCGTTTCCTATTTAATTTTTTTAGTTCTGCCATTTGCACTACCAACTTAACATACAATACTCACTCCAAGAATATTTAAAAGTAAATAGATTTAAAAAAAAGGATATGTTTGAAGGAAGGTGAACGTAACTTCTCTCCAATTCTATTTTACTCGACCAATATTTCAACTAGCCTCCAAATCCGTCTTGATGAACCACTGTTTGGGATATCTCCCTTTTGGACTGTATCTAGAATTAAACCTCCAAATATTAATATTTTGATTTTTTAATGATAGCCAAATTTCATGTGACAATATATTTCTTTTTTTTACAATAACAATAATCTATTACCACAGAAGAAAGAACAAAAAATGTTCTTTATCCTGTGCTATTACTAAGATACAAACAAATTGAATACAGGTGTGAATACTGTACACCTGTATAATATTTATTGCTAACTAATTTATTGATTCAAGCTATACTTTTTGATTTTGCCGAAATTATTATAATATAATCCATATTATATTTTTAAAAGTCTAAATACTATCTTTGATTCAATAATTTAAAAGTTATTATTGTTAAAAAATATTTTTGTTTTTTTCATCCAAAGTATTTACATATCTTTTAAAATTCCCAAAAAATATTGACTTGCTTATGTAAAATGAGTATAAAATGTTTACTAATAAAATAATAATTTTCAGGTAAAATTATGATGGATCCAGATTCATTTAAGAAAACCAAAAGAAAAATAAGATGCACTCATGAGTTCAATCAACTACATAGAGAAAGCCTAGCTATTACACCTTCTAAAAGTAGTGCATCTGAGAAAAAAGTATCCAAAAAGAATAACGCTTTTTTTTATTTACCAAAAGTAGATATGGACTTTGGATGTAAAGAAAACAGTTCACCTAATATTTCAGAAAAGAAATTGTCAAAAAGAAAGAGACAAAATGAATCATCTAAAGGTTTGCTTCAAAATATTTGTAATTCTGATATTAAAGAAACATGGAACGAAAGAAGTAATGAAACTTCTGTCGATGGAGAGAGAAAAGATTCCACAGAAATTCTCTTTAAGAAGAGAAGAAAGAAAAAAAAGCAATTATCTTTTAAAGAACAGTCAAAGGCCGGTAGCAATGAAGATTTATCAAATATTAAAATGGGAATCAGCATAATTGACAAAACAATAAAACAGTCTGTAAGCCAAAATGATACTGAACAAAATCTTGATTCTAATGACAATATTACGAAAATGCAAAATTTTGACCCTATTGATCATGTTAAAGTTAGAAAATCAAAAAGCATATTAAACACATTCAACAAACACCCATCGAGGAAATCCACAATAAAAACAAGTTCTAAAAGCTTATCAGATTTAGCACCAAGTCCAATAGGTAGTGAAGAGATATCAGACGATGTATTTTCAGATAGCTTTAAATTATCAGAAACAGTAGAATGCAACAATGAATTATTCCCTTCTGAAAATAATTCAAATAAATCCAATACATTTGAACTGCAGAGTAGCATCTTTGATGTTTCTCAATTGCCAGTCATTCAATCTATTAAAAAAGATTTAGGTAATTGTGAAAATAATGGTAATAAAAGGTTAAAATCGTTGAACACCAGAAAATCGGTTAATAATATAAAAATAGAAAAATGTATGAGATCGAAGTCTTCAAGTGGAAACTCAAGTAAAATGAACAAGGCCTCATTAAGTAATGTTTCTTACAGTAGTAGGAAGTCTGTACGATTTACAGATTGCAAAAATGATAATGATTTTTCCATTTTAGAACAAAATAATTCAATTAAATACCGAAAATCTCCATACATTAGTAATTTTTCTAAAAATCGAAGTAAAAATGAACAACATTTGTTTGATATATCTCCCAATGGAACAAGCACAAACTTCAATGAAACTTACGAAATGATTTCACCCACAAAGTCGGAGTCTAAAATTACTAAACGTAAAAAATGGAATCGATCATTAGGTGCATCTATATTGGATTCTACTGGTTTAATTCATACTGTTTCACCTCCATGGGAAATTGAGGAATCAAATAACTCTTTTAACTTCAGTTATGGAAGCAACTCTAGTTTGGCAATGAATTTATTTGATTTAAACTGCCAAATAATACATTCACCGCAAAAAGAAACTGCAAACTGTTCGACACCAATAAAAATAGCCAGTACAGAGGAAAATAGAAATTCGTTGGGAAAAAATCCATCAATAATTGTACATTCGTTGAAACAATCCAAATCGACCGGTACTTTAAAATGGGCCGATAGTCCTATCGGAAAAGCGTCTTGTTCCAAGAAGACTATCCAAACTGACAATAAAGCAAATTATGGAAGTTCAAATAAAAAAGTTAAAGTGCCCAATTTTGCTCTAATTCATCAAAAAGCTTATGACAAATTAGAAAATTTAAAAGATATGACAGAGCGTAAAGCTTTGAGAACTAAACTTTTACTTTCTGGAAGAAAGCCTAATATTGAAAATTTAGAAGTAAAATCTCCAAGATTCAAGATTAAATCTCCCAAAAGTAAGAAATTGCTAAGGTAAGAAGGAATATTTTTTATTTAATTATGATTACCAAATTAGTAGCAGATAAGTACAATTACCAAACTTAACTAATACTTTTAACCGCCGAATACAAAAATCTAATGGGTCCAACACATGACTTTCCTCTCTAGTTATTAAAGGATGAACTACACATTCATTTTCCACACCATCTTACTCAAAATATTTTTTTACAGTATGGATCAAATGAGTAGTTAGTTTTTCGAATAAATGCTCGGACAGGTCAATTTTGTTTACTAAAAGCGCAATTTTTCTCACTTCCCATTTTTGGGCAGTGACGTCATTGACAATTTTTGCAATATCTTACATAATAATTTTCTTGAATAAAAATCATTTTAGAGGAAAATTTACATTACAAACAGAAAGACCTGCAGGGAAACGGTAGTTTAGTAGGTATTAAAATTACAACTTAAGAGGATACAGTAAGCTATGACATCATCACGTTTGATTTCAGAACTTCCCTCCTCCTACCACTTCATGATTTAGTTTGTGGGCATCCATATCTTTGGTTTCAGTTTACAAGATCTAATGTGGCAACGTATAATTTCTCGCTCCGATCTTGAAAAATAAGTTTGTATTACCGATTTTTAAATTACGCCAATATCATAAAAATTACGTATCAAATCAAAAAAAGTGTTCTTGATTTTTTCTAGCTACATTTTTAATGATGATAATGCTGTTTAGATCATAATTTTATCGATAAGATTAAGATAGATAATTAAAAAAAAGTTACTTGATGTCACAAGATTGTTAGCGGTCCTTGACAAGGCTACAAAAAAGAGACCGATAAGCTCTATAGACCAAGAAGTTCAGAATGGTAAAAGTGAAATTTAAATAATGTGTTGGTCAGGCCAATCGAATGAATGTTACAGCTATGTACTTATTGTACTGATTATAATACCTTATTTATATTGTTATTTTGTTATAAATTATTTTTTATACTATTAAAGTATCCGTAAAATCTAAATTAAAAGCATCAAAACACTACAATAGTAGTTTGTGCAATAAGAGTGGATAATGGGGGGGTGGGTTGGCTCATTGGTTAGAGTCATAACTTTGAGATCGGAAGGTCTCAGGTTCGAATCCCACCGCTGGCCGGGATTTTTTCATTTAATTTAATTATTTGAAATTAATTCTGATGCCTTGGTAGGATTCCCCACTCGACCATTCACTGTTGGGTTCTAATTAACAGTGCTGTTCCTAAAGTGGCGCTGGGAAACAGTACCAAAGCCTACACAGAACACGAGGCTATGTTATGTTGATAATGGGGTGTTAATACACTGCGACCTAAAAGATCTATTGTGCCCCCTTCTGTCGCCACTGCACTAAGGAAATGTCTCAATGCCTATAGCGACCCTTCCAATTCTATTTTCTCAAGGAAGTGTAGGTTTTGAAGTGGCTTCAAGTTAGGTAAGTCTCCCTCTTCTATTTGATATCCTCCTAGATATAGTGCCCTTGGATTCTGGAGTGCTACACATTCAGTTAGGATGTGAATGGAGGTTTCGTCCTCCTCCTCGCAGAATCTGCACTCACTATACTACTCTCAGTTTACTTAGGTGTCCTTTTAGTCGGCAGTGCCCGGTAAGGATCCCTGTTACAATACGTAGCCTGTTCTTGCTCAGGCAGATGCAGGCTTCCGATCTTTTTTGGTTATATTCACCCAGAAGTATCTTGGCCTGTCTCAGCCCCAAGAGATTGTTCCAATTATCGGTTCTTCTACTACCCAATTGTTTTTTAATCTCTTCTAATATTATGTTATTGCTGATACCGCAGAACGGCTCAGGTCCTACAAAGGGTGTTTGAGCCCCTTTCCTTGCAAGACTATCTGCAATCTCGTTACCCTGTACCCGGTTATGTCCCGGGACCCAAGTGAGAGTAACTCTATTTTTCTCGCCTAGCTCATTCAATTGTTCTAGGCATCTCCATACCATTTTTGAGCTGATTACGTAAGAACTCAGCGCTTTGATGGCTGCTTGACTATCGGACATGATGATAATCCCTTGTCTATGATAGTTTCTCTCGATGTTAAACTGGATACACTTCTCGATGGCGTGAATTTCCGCCTGGAAGATGCTTGGGTATTTTCCCAAGCTTTCGGAGTGCTTGGTTCTCGGCCCATACACTCCTATTCCAGTTCCTTCTATGGTTTTGGAACCGTCCGTGTACCACTGAATAGCACGTCTTTCGGTTGCAAGCGCGATGGATTCTTGGCTCCATTCTTTCTTGCATCCCAGCTCTGTGGTTTTGAAGTTTTTCACAAAACTGTACTTCTTTTGCATTTCATCCTGGGGCATGTCCCAGGTATCTTTAGTCCTGAAGCAAGTAGACTTTCGTCTGATTACTCCGCTCCTGATCATTCTATATCGTGTCTTTTTTGCCACATTCTCTATCATCAAATGTAGAGGGGTGAGGTTTAAGATCACCTCCATTGCGGCCGTAGGACAGGTTCTCATTGCACCAGTAATGCAAACACAGGCTAGTCTTTGTACTTTTGAGATAGCCCCGTAAGTGATGATTGGTCTCACTATTGCAGTATACATCCATCGCAGTATGTTTGGGTTACATCCCCATCGTTTACCCGCCATGTTTCTGCATACCATTAGGGCTTTTGTGGCCTTATTTACTACTTCCTTCTCATGTGTGTTCCAGAGAAGTTTGTTGTCCAGGGTTAGGCCTAGATATTTGACTTCATTTTTCCATTCTATATCTATCCCGTCTAATTTAACGGTTTTGAGATTAAGTTTTCTTTTCCTTGAAAAGGCTACTAGTGTTGTTTTTGTAGGGTTTATACTAAGTCCCACTTCACGGCACCATCTTTTGGTATGTTCTAGTCCTCTTTGGACTATATCACACAGGATATTACTAAACTTGCCACTAGCAAATATGACTATGTCGTCGGCATAACCTTGACAGGGTATGCCGAGGTCAGTCAATCTGCATAGAAGTTCGTCTACGATTAGGCTCCACATTAGTGGGGATAGAACTCCTCCTTGTGGACATCCTCTGGTTGTGCAGATGGAGATAGTGTCCTGCCCTATCTGTGTCTCTGCAGTTCTCGAAGATAACAGCTGCGCCATCCATCTGGATGTGATGTTATCTACTCCTCTGTATGCAAGTGCTCTTTTTACAGATTCGTGTGGCGTGTTGTCAAAAGCTCCTTCTATGTCTAGAAAGGCACACACGACCGTTTCTTTGTTTGTCAGTGCATCCTGGATTACATCAGTCAACTGTACCAGGGCAGTTTCTGTAGATCTTCCTGCTCGGTACGCGTGTTGGCTGTGGTGGAGTGGCACCCTCTCCAGGACTTCTGTTCTGATATAGTTATCAACAGCCTTCTCCATTGTTTTTAATACAAAGGATGTGAGGCTGATTGGACGGAAAGATTTAGGATGTGTGGTATCCTTTTTCCCTACTTTTGGAATAAAGGTGACTCTGGCCTTTCTCCATGCTTCTGGTATATATCCCTGCTCCGGGATAGCCGGATTATGTGTGGTAGTAATTCCTCCTGTGCCTGCTGAAGCAGGGCAGGAAATATTCCATCCACACCTGGAGACTTAAACGGTTTAAAAGTGTTTACGGCCCACCTTAACCGATTTCTGCTGCATATATGCTTGGCCACTACACTACTATAATCCTAAAATTCTTTACATATGTATTTTAAATTTATGCTCACTTTTATTTCAGATTTGACATGAGCTGCATTAAGACGATTATGACTTTTTGACCAGTTCAATAAAAACGCTTGGCATAGGTAGAGCGAATTAATTAAATTTTTTTATTTCTTTGCCTGATTCATCCACACATTTTTCAAAATAATTAACCCAAACGCGCCTACTTTGGTTATTTATTTATTCGCAATAACTTCACGTTGAGAGAAGAACTCTTTTAATTCAACCCACTCAATTTCATTATTCATAGCCGGGATATTTTGAAAATGAAATGAATTTTTCCAGGAGAGTCTCCTAAGTACAAAAAAAACATATTTTTAAAGAGTCTGATGTATGAGCATCTATGTGGGTGTTTATGTCACTGATCTGTATTATTTTACTGGATAGGATATAGGCTATATTTAGATTTGGGCAAATTATGGTGGGTTCACAGAACTGAAATTTGGGATAATTTGACATACCTAACCTATAATTTGATTAGTTTTTCTTCTTATTCTTCTTCTATTCCTTTTGCGGGCGATGTCCTTCGGGAAATTTCACCCTTGATTTGATTTTTTATGAAAGAAAATATAATAATGGAAACGTGAAGCATATTGTGTCTTCAGGAATGAACGTTTATTGTTTATTTCATACTCTTTTTACTTTGTTTTCCACAATAAAAACATCTCATCGTAGCTTGTTGACACAATTAAATGACAAATGGAAATAGAGGTTACGTTAAATAACATCCGGTCCGCCATATTATTTGCCCAAATCGGCCAATTTTTCGGAACGTTTTTTAGGGGGCTATATCCTATCCAGTAAAATAATACAGATCAGTGGTTTATGTACATTAAGCACGTTAACTCAAGGAAGAGTTGACGGATTTAAGTGATTTTTCAGAAAAAAAATCATTTTTCTTAAAAACTAGGTCTCCATTGTTTTGTGGCATCATAGGCATACCAAAAGTATCTTTTAAAGGATTGAAAAATTCCTATTTACCAATCGACATGACATTTTTAAATAACAATTTTCATAACAATAGATATCAATGCTGCATAAATCCTTAAAAATTTTATCTCGATCGGATATTTATTATTTAAAATTAATATTTCCGTAAGAATTGCATTGGGCTAATAACGATAAAAAATAAATACAATAAATACGAGAAAAGTTGATAGATTTTTGCGTTGTATTTATGAGAAAATCGCATTACTTAAGTATTCATTATCTTTGACCTACCGAAAGCATTTTTTAAAGAGTTACCCAAATCTATAAAAAGATTTAAATCTTTTAAAAAGATTTAAATATTTTGAAAATATTTATTTCGT